TCGTATCAATAAGTAAGGCATGTTCACAGTAACATTTCCTACAAAAAAGAAACCTTCGTTAGTGTAAAAAAGCATCATCATACTCATCTCTATAAGGATTTGAATATGGCAAGTGAGTGTATGATCTCCAGCAGAACCAAATGCACCCTCTGTAGTTTCTTTGATGAGGGCTTCGTGTACATTTCAGTGCAGTTCTGCATATATTTTTGCCTAGATCCCTGTATGTAATGTTGAGGTAATGAAATACATCCACAACACACCCCTTGATCCCATATTTACAAGCCCATACTGCATACTTCTGGACAACATGTTCTTGCATTTCTAGTTTGGGGCAACCCTGTTGTGTAGCTTATAATAAAAGCTACTGAATTCACTATAGGGTCTGGGACATCAGTATGTATTGTATGGAGGTTTGACCTTCGATGCATGAAGGCATTGCTAAATATGATGAACCTTAACCTCCTCTTTAGTTCCTCCACTTCCATGCTTATGCTTACAATAATTGCTCCTTCAAGGGAATGAGCGCTAGGTGCTCATACCACCTATTGAAGTCGTAATATATGGTAAGGCATGGAGACAGTAGCTTCTCATGCAAAAAGGAAAACAAGATTAGTGAAAAATTGATCATCATATTCTCCGCCCATAGGATTTGAACATTGTGATACAGTGTAATCTCCAACTCCCACTTCTTCCTTTCCTCCTCACTCCTTAATTCTTGACAACCTTTACCCTCAAGTAGGGACATTGTAGTTTGTCCTCATTCACTATCCTCCTCCCTTGAATATCCATTTGCCAGAATTCTTCACATTCTATATCACCAAAATCTAGAGCATAATTGGCAAGATGGTCAGCCACTTTGTTACATTCTCTATTGATGTGTGACACTTTATTAATGTATCCTTCCAACAGATGCATAATCTCCTCCACCTGATCAGCAATACACCATGGTGGCTTCCAAGATCCATCAATAATGTTCTTTAGTAGCATCAAGTCTGTTTGGATCCATACTTTAGTGTACTGTTGTAACCTACAGAACCTCAATGCTTCTACAATATCCTCTGCCTCTGCTTCTGTATTTGTAGCTTTATTTAATTGTTTTCCTACTGCATAACATACATCTCCAATTCCATTCCTTACACAATATCCAATTGCACTCCTTTTTGGATTCCCTCTAGATGCACCATCCGTATTAACTTTAATCCAATCCTCCCCTGGCAACTCCTAGAAAACTTTGTCAACATTCAATCGTGGGGTATAATTTTCCATCATCAATAGTAACTCCTGCCACCTATGGGGAACATTATGCACTCCTGGGTTTCTTACTTGTATAAGGGCTTGAAGAGTGGATGAAACTTGATAGATCACTCGACTAGTTGTGACTGCCTCCCCATACTTCATGCTATTCCTTCTCTTCCATAATTCCCATATAATACAAGAAGGCAAAGCCTGCATAACAGGCTTAAGTCTAGGACAGACCTTGGTAGTCCAACATTTAGTGATGGCTTGATGCATTATCAACCCCTCCATAGCAATACTTGCCCTCAATAGGAAGTATTTCCATACACTGCTTGCAGTAACGGACGTGAAGAACAAATGATGCAGAGTCTTTTCCTTAGGTTGTGCACAACACCAGCATTTTGAAGGCATGAAATATCCCAGCCTTCTCATAAAATCATCAAGAGGAAATTTTGCCTTCCAAACCTTCCACATAAAGAATGAGATTTTGAAAGGTAAGCCTTTTACCCAAATCATCTTATAAGCTATTCTTGGTTCATCTCACCTTCTCAGATAATCCCAAGCAGTTTTAACACTGAAATACCCTCGAGTTTCCAGCATCCAATAAGGCACATCTAAGACTCATCCATATGAGGAGGCTTAAGTTTTTCCACAATATGTAGTGCATATTCCTTAGGTAAAATCTCCAGTAATCTGTCTACATTCCATGCACCCTCCTCTATCACATCATATATATATATATATATTATGAATTGATTCATCTATCCCAAAATCTTGAGGAACAATGAAGTACAGAGCTCCTAATCCCGTCCAGTTGTCATACCAAAAGAGGGAAGATCCCATCTTTGGATGCCACATAATTTGATGTTCAATTAAATCCCTGCACTCCAACATCTTCATCCATGCATGTGACCCTATCCTCCATGGAACTATCACAGCATTAAGTTTCTTGCAATACTTCTGGCACATAAATGCCCTCTAAAGACTTGGCTTAGTTCGAACGTTCCACCACAGTTTGCAGAATAAAGCTTTAGACACATCATGCAATGATCTAAAATCAATTCCACCCTCTTCACATGGCATACATAATGTGTTCCAAGATGCCCAATGTCTATTATTGCCTCCTATAGAACTGCTCCTGAAAAACTGTTCAAATATCTTGTGCAGCTTATTTATAACATATTTAGGAGGATTCATAGCTGAGAGTAGGTGGATGGGCATGCTCTGAAGCACATGAGCAATCAATACTGATCTACCACTTATAGAGAGTAGCTTGCCCTTCCATTCTTGCAATTTATCCAGTACCTTAGAAATTAAACCTTGATAATAATCCATCATCCTCCTCGAGTAGAAAATAGGGCAGCCTAAGTATGTGAATGGAAATTACTGTCTTTAAATCCCAGTGATCTTTTCCACCTTTGTAGCCACCTCCATGCTTGTAGAATGGTGCATATATACAACAGACTTACTCTTGTTCACCAACTGGCCAGATGCACCTTCATAGGCACTCAAAACTTCCATTACTTATTGCAGTGAAGTAGCATCAAATGAAGAAAAAATAATGGTGTCGTCTGTGTATGCCAAATGATTTATTTTAGAAATCCAATTAGGTAAGCCAAACCCACAGAAATATAGATTCAAATGTAAAGCAATAAGCCCCTCGACATTGCCTCAGCAGCTAGAATGAATAGTGTAGGTGACAATGGATCCTCTTGCTTGACACCTCTTGTAGATTAGAAAAAACCATGAGCCTGTCCATTGATGAGTACTGAATACCAATTGTTTGAGACAATTCCAAACACCCACCCTATAAATCTCTCACAAAACCGCATCTTCTTAAGCACTTTGGTCAGAAAAATCCAAGATAACCTATCATATGCTTTTGTCATGTCGATCTTAATTACTACATATGGTCCAGCTTTAGTTCTGAGCCTAAAGTCAGTAATAATCTCCTGTGTAAGAAGCACATTTCAACAATGCTCCTCCCTTTCACGAATCCTGCTTGTTCCTTAGAAATAAGGTTAGGAAGTAACCCCACTAGCTTCAAATGAATCACTCTTGAGATGATTTTATTTGTAAAATTGCTAAAGTTTATAGGCCTCATATCCGAGAATGTTGTCACCTCTTTCTTCTTAGGTAGAAGAACCAGATTTGTGTGTGTCACACATTTTGGTAATTCTTGTCCATTGAAAAATGCTCTAACCATATAAAATAAATCATTTCCAATTATGTCCCAACAAGAGTGATAAAAGCTACCTGTGAATCCATCTGGACCTCCTGCACTGTCTCCATTTAAGCCAAACACAGTTTGCTTAACCTCTTCTTTTGTTGGATGCCTAATCAGATCTGTATTCTGCTCCATGTTAACCAACCTAGGCACATGATGAATGATGCCAAATGATGTAGGACTGTTGTTTCACTAAATTGATCTACAAAAAATTTAACTCCTTCAACAGCCATCTCTGTATCTTCTTCAATCTAGGTACTTTGACTGTTTTGAATCCTCTTGAGATGCAATCTCTTCCACCGACCATTGACTTGAGCATGAAAGACCTTAGTGTTCCTATCACCGTCTTTGAACCAAGCCATTCCTGATTTTTATTTCCATAATTCTTCCGCCAAAGCAAAGAATCTGATCAGCTCTGCCTGAACCTTTTGTAATCTCTCTATATTCATCTGTGTAGGACTAGCTTCAAACTGCGCTTCATGCACCATAACAAATTCCTCCAAACTTACAATCTTTTGAAATATATGACCATATGTTGCTGTACTCCAAGTAGACAATGCCTTTTTTGGCTTCTTTAGCTTGTAGTTGAACATGATAAATGGATTTCCACTTAACTTTACATGCCCGTTCTCTCTTACAACCTCCTTAAATGACTCATGTTTGACCCAAAAATTAATAAACCTAAATGGTTTGTTCACCGGATTAGCCTCAATATCACACTTCCATAACATGGGACTGTGATATGAGCCAATCTTAGATAAATGTGTTACTTCCAGTCCTGGAAATGTTTGCTGAAATTCAACATTAGCCAGACATCGATCAAGCCTCTTGAAGATACAATCATCCTCTGCCCTCACATTCCACCAAGTAAAAATACTACCTTTGAACCCAATATAAAATAAGTTGCACGTATTGATGCAATGTCAAAAGTCATCAATTTCATTTAATGACACTGGCAGTCCCCCAAATTTTTCTTCCTCATCCCAAATTACGTTAAAGTCTCCACCTATAATTTATGGAACATTCATGTCCCTAGCCATTGCATACATTTAATCCCATAATTCTATTCTCTCAATAGCATCGCATTTAGCATATACCAATGTAAGAATTAGTTTTACATGTGTTTCAGTATGAAATAATCTTAGAGTCAGTTGCTGCACCATATCATACATAACAGTAACATCAAACACCTCATCAATGAATGCCCAAATCTTGTTTGACACATTTGCAATTGTTTGCAGAAAACAAATTTTTCTTCTGTATCTCTCCAACATTTTTGCTTGTTGCTTTGGCTCCATAAGTCCTATAAATTCAAAATGGTGCTGCCTATGCATCTTAATAAGCCTCTCAAAAGCTTGTTGAGTATTCACAGATCTAATGTTCCAAATAAGTGCATCCATTATAGAATGTTGGATTTAGTTAGGGTCCTCCTTGCCTGTACACTACCTGTAGGCACAAAAATGATATTTTTAAGTTGCTTTTTTCTTCCTTTTGCAGTTGTTTTGACCTTGTCAATGTGTCTAGGAGAGATATCACCTTATTTAGCTACATTAAGGAAATTTTGAGTAGTTGATTCTTCATCTAAATCATTGCACGGTCTTTCAACTTGATCATCTACATCATTGTCACCTAATGCAGCCATTATGTTGGATTTACGAGGATTAGGAACCATGGCATGTTCCTCTATTTTCTTCTGCAGCTTCAACTGTACAATTTCCAATGGAATAGTACTTCCAGTTTCCACAGGTGGTTGACTACTGGACACCTGCTCATTCCCAGCCTTTACAATCTCCTTTTTATTCATGTTAGCATTCACATTATGTGCAGCAATATCTCCAGTTCCTCCTGGATCAACAACATCCACTCCAATCTGTTCAGGGTCCTCTGTACCTACCCCATCTCTTCCTGTATTCACCTGTCCCTCCTTAGAAATATTCTGGTCTTTGGGATCAATATAGACATTGTTTAGATTCTCTTCATTAGTGATCTTAGCAGTAAGAATGGCATCTCCATTTACACTTTGTTCCTCTTCCTCTTGTTCATCATCAGTTGATTCTTCACTATCTTGTACTCCATCAGGAACTTCATCTTCTTCATTGTCCTCCTCAATTTGATCAGCCCACAGCCTACCTCTACTTTATAGAGCCTTCTCATTCTCCTTAACCGATTCACTCCTTATCTTAGCACCAACAGCTTGTATTTTTTCTAACTTTTTGGCCAACTCTCCTTCCACACGAGAATCTTGTGATGGTGTATCTTGACATGAGGTATTAGTAGCAACTGTATTAGCATTAAAAGTTCTTTGTACCCATTGAGCTGTGGATTCCTTATTTCTAGATTCATCATTCCTTTTCCCATTAGGACTCGTATCCACACACCCATTCGTAGAGACAATCCTAGCTGGGCTAGGATTAAAAACTGGAGCTGCTGGATTTAATTTCCCAGCATTATTAGGATTGGATTTTTGACTTCGTTCAATTGACTTCTAGTTCCCAGTTACTGCAGGCCTTGGACTTTGTTGAACCTTTTCTCCCACAAATACCAGCTGATTATCAGTTTCTTCTTCCTCATATATCACTTCTAAGACTGCAAATTTGTTTCCCATTTGAATTTGTTTATTTACTCCTTGCTCTACTGGCACAATTTCCTTCCCAGTTTTCCTTTGAACTTCATTTTATTTTCCACCATTGTTTACTCTATTTCCCACATGAACCTGTTGCCCTTCACTATGATTTACTAGAACTATTTTTTTTTCCAGTATTTCCTTGAGCTTCAGTCTGATTAATAATAGCCTTAACTCGATTGTCTTTAACTTCTTGCCACTGCTCCTTTGAATTACCATCTATATTACCCTCAACCTTACCACTTGACAGAAACATCAAAGGTTGTTGATTACCTTTGTTCTGATCAGCATCATTCATAGCCTATTTAGCATGTCCTTGTCCACAAACAACTCTGGATGTAAGCTCCAGCACTGAAACTCATCATGTCTTTGCAACTTACACGTTTTGAAATATTTAGGCAGCATATCATATTGGATCTTTACCCATTCTGTCTTTGTCTCTCTTGTTGCTTTATTCTCAATATCCATTCTAACCATTTTAGGTAAATCAACAAGAAGATTAACTAGAACTTTCACCCTAGCACAACTAGGTCTAGTTTTATTTATGGTAGCCATATCAAGGTTCAAAGGATTCCCTACAGCTGAAGCTAAGAAAATCACTCCAAGAAAACCCAAGCTATATACATTCCAAAACAACAAAACAATCAACAAGCAGGACCAGCTGCAGGTACAACCACTAACAATCATGCTGTTACTCAGGAGAGGAGTGGTGAACCTGTGATTCATAGTCAGATCACCAATCACAACCTACATGGTAGAAGTAATGATGGAAGGAAGGATGATCAGGAGGTTGTTCAGGTTGAAAATGTGAAGGATCAAATAATCCCTTCAACCAATGTTCAATCAAGAAGTAATTATGATGAAAAGTTTAAGGGAAGGAAGAATGGTCGGGAGACTTCTCATGATGAGAGTCTTAATGAATATACATCATTTGCAACCCTTGATCAATTGACATATTCTTAGTGATAAATCCAAGAAGAGGCAGAAATTGTGTGATCTCCACTTCCATTGAAGGGAATCACAATGACATGACAGTCAAAGGAATAGATCCACAGCCTCCTGAAGATGTGATAACAAAATGAAAGAGTAATCCTAGTCAGAAAAAAAAGAAGGCAAATGAGAAAACAGAAGGGTTCTAGTACACAAGCCGCACCTAAGTACACTTTATTGACTCTAATCCTCAAAGTCTTCAAATGAAGGTCCCATCTGATATTAGGATGAAGGAGTCAGTGCTCACTCCTCATGTTGGGGAGTACTACAGAATGCACATTCACACTCCCAAATAGAAGCCAGAATTCTGATAGCAGCTATAATTCCACCTACTCAGTCTATCCAATGGACTGACCAACATGGTTGAATGGAAGAGGATAAGTATAATCACATACAATCTTAAAATGAAAGTAATATTAAAGAAATGGCAGATGATGAACATAGTGATGATATGGAGGCAGAAGACACATCTAATCAACTACTCAATGCTATCAATGGAGTTTCTTATCTTGAAAATATGGTTGCATCTCATGGCCTGTCACCTAGAGGTAACACATCTTACTCTTTCACTAGAAGCAGAGCAAGCAGTTCTAAAGTAACACCAAAAATACCAACTATTAAGCAATTTTTATGATTTGTACGATCATATGGAAAGCAAGAGGTATCAGAACTAAATGGGCCATTGAAAGACTCAAAACCTTGAAGCAACTTCATAAATTATCCTTTATTGTAGTGTTGGAGCCATTTCTTGATGACACTCATCAACCATTATAGACTACAGCTATCCATGCAAAATTCATCTTCCAATGTCAATAATAAAATCTAGGTATTCTCGGATCAAGAATTCACAGGCAATGTTATTGACCAGGATGAGCAATAGCTGACCATGGAGTTACAACACACTGAAGCAGTGGAACCAATTCAAATAACTATAATCTATGCCAAATGGAAAATAGCTCTGAGAAGACCTCTTTGGAAGGTTCTAAGACAGAAATCCATGACATGCACAATCGTATGGCATGTCATTGGGGACTTCAAGGTGATCACATCCATAGAAGAGAAAGTTGGAGGCCTTCCCTACCAGATGAACAAGAGTCTGGAATTTTTAAGCATGATTGAAGATTGTGGTTTTGTGGACCTATGTTTCTCTGGAAAGAGGTTCACCTGGTCGAATGGAATGGGTCAATGCTCAATAGTTTGGAACAGACTAGACAGAGGTCTGATCAAAGATAACTGGTCGATATCTTACCCTACCATTAGCTATCACCCATCTATCGTCAGCAGGATCAGATCATAATCCTCTACTTATGGAGATAAAAGTGAGACCAGACTCTGGTAGAAGATACTTCATCCGGAAGTCTGGGATAAAAAGGTCAATGGCAATGCTATGTGGATATTTTATCAGAAATTTAAAGAAAATTCTGGTGATTTAAGTACATGTTCCAGGCAATAGTATGGGGACATCTTTCAAAAGGCAAAGGAGTATGAACAAAACCTGAAGCAGACTGAGGTGAATTATGCTCAAACAAATGATGATTCTAACAGAGAAGCATATCATGAGTTTCAGTATCAATATGTGAGATACATGAAGTTAGAAGAATCTATCCTGAAATAGAAAACTCAGCTACAATGGTTTACAGAAGAGGATACTCACTCCAAGTATTTTCACAGTCTGATCAGAGGCAGAAGAAGGAAATTGATCATTCATAAAATCAAAGAGGATGATGAATGGATTCCGGGTGATGAAGCTATTGGTATAGCAGCATGCAGCTACTTTCAAAATCTCTTCACCCAAATAGGAGGTGCCATCAGAGAAGACCTATTGTCCTATATTCCTTCCATGATAACAAAGAAAGATACTGAGCTAATTGCTAAGGATCCCACTATGGCAGAACTTAAAGAAATGTTTTCCATGAATCCTAATAGTGCTGCTGGTCCTGATAGAATGAATGGAAAATCTTCCAATCGTGTTGGAATATCTTTAAATTTGATCTATCGAATGTGGTATTGGATTTTTTTTGGTTTGTTACCATGCCAAGATACATGACTAGTGATTGCCTAGTCCTACTGCCCAAGGTGGACTTCCCAAATTCCTTAACATAGTTTAGGCCAATTAGTCTCAGCAACTTTATCAACAAAATCATCTCCAAAGTCATAAACTCTAGAATGGCACCTATCCTTCCTACAATCATTTTTGCTAACCAGACAAGTTTTGTCAAAGGTAGAAGCATCTCGGAAAATATAATGTTGGCTCAGGAGATTATTTATGGGATCAAAAACCCAACATAGGTTCAAATGCGGTCATCAATCTTGACATGGCTAAAGCTTTTGACAGAGTTTCCTGGGGTTTTACCTGCATAATGCTGAGAAGAATGGGCTCCAATGAGATGATCATTGATATGATTTGGAGAACCATGTCCAATAATTGGTACTCGATCATTATTAATGGTACCGGATGGGTTTTTTCCACTAAACAAGGGGCCTGAAACAAAGAGATACATTGGCACCATCTTTTTTATCATTGGTGCTAAACTTCTATCCTGGATGCTCAACACTTTAACCTATGACCAGTTCTTCAATTGTTTCTACATGGAAAGAGGAGGCCCTCAGATTAATCATCTGAGTTTTGCTGATGACATTATAATTTTTACTTCTGGGGCCAGAACTTCCTTATAGAAAGTCATGGAGACTCTCAGTAGTTATGAAGACAAATTTGGCCAACAAATCAATAGACATAAGAGTCATTTCATGACTACCCCTTCTGCATTCAATAACACAGTGAGAAGAGTACATCAGGTAACTTGATTAAGCAAGAAAGAATCCTCTCTCACATACTTAGGATGCCCTATGTATACAGGTAGGAAAAAAATTGTGCACTTCAATTACATGGTGGCTAAAATAGTTAACAGAATCAAAGGCTAGCATAACAGCTTTCTATCCTATGGAGACAAGGCTACTTTGATTAAAAATGTGTTACAATCAATACCCATACACCTTTTGTCAGCTTTTTCTCCTCATAAAGTTGTTCTAAAACGAATACAAAAACTGTCTGCTACCTTTTTCTAGGGAATGGAGAATGACAAAGCCAAATACTACTGCTCCTCATGGCAAACACTAGCATTCCAAGTGAGTGACGGAAGAATTGGCTTCAAAACAATGGAAGATGTTTGTAAATCCTTGGAGTACAAATAATGGTGGTTATTTAGAACTAAAAAGTCACTTTGGGGAAACTTTATGAGGGCTAAATACTGCCAAATATCAAATCCAATATCTAAGAAGTGGGCTACTGAGCAGCCTCAAACATGGAAATAAATGATGATCAACTAAAAAGAGGTTGAGAAACACATTTACTGGAGATTGCATTCTGGTAACTACAGCTTCTCGTGGGATAATTGGTTGGGAACAAGTGCTCTTGCTACTTATAGAACTAAATGAGGCAGACATGGAAACACTACTGTGGCTCGACTGTGGGAAAATGGCCAACTTACAGGAATTGAACAGAGTGGCTTCAATTCATAAGATTCAAGACATAATGTAAATTCCCATCTACTATAAGCCACATATCCAAGATCAACCCATATGGACTCCCACTACATCTAAAAACTTTACATGTGCATCTGCTTGGGAAGTGTCAAGGAATAAGAAACAACCCAATTTTACCAATAAAATGATATGGCACAAAAAGATCTCCTTTAAATGTTCCTTTTGCCTCTGGAGGGCTGTCAGAAATAAATTACCCTCTTATGACAGGATTAGCTTCTTTGAAAATATTACTGCTTCAAGATGTGTATGTTGTACCATACTTGAAGATGAAACAACAGAACATATCTTCAGTCAAGGCAATCTTGCTAGGATAGTGTGGAAGAAATATGGAAATCCTGCTGGAATTAAAATTGACAACATGCCTCTCAAATTAATCTTAATGAGTTGGTGGCGTAAGAAGAATCACAATGAAGTACAAATGCTAATTTTAGTCACTCTCCCCATTATCATATGTTGGAACCTATGGAAGAACAGATGGAGTACTAAGTATGGATGAAAGGCCTCTTTTATAGCCAGGGTAATCTTCTTCATCAACTCTCATGTACACTTGCTGCTACATACTGACTTCCTTGCTATTAACTGGCCTTATAGATGGGTGAATCTCTACTCTATCATTAAGAATATCCAATATCACATTACTACCCAACATGTTAAATAGACCAGACCGCTGGTTGGTTTTGTAAAATTTAACAGTGATGGGAGTGCTTTGACCAACTTTGTGAGGATAAGTGGTGGTGTTGTTATCAGGAACCACTTGGGAGAATT